CTCTATCAGGCCAATATCCTGAAACATAAACCATAGAAATACACCACAAGAAAAGAAAACTACAGATCAACATTTCTCATGAATATATACATAAAAATCTTCAATAAAATATTATCAAATTGAATCCAGCAACATATAAAAGGATTACATATCATAAGTGGCGTTTATTCCAATGATGCAAGGCTGCTTCAACATTCAAAAATCAATCAATGTCGTGTTCGCTGGTGTGATTCTGTCCTGTGTGGCTGTTCTCTGGAACAGTAGTGATTTATCTCCATCCACTTTCTCTTTCACCTAAGTGCATGCCACCACCCCACAAAAGATTTGAGGGACAGACATTTGAGGCCCCGGAACTATCTCTTCAGATGTGAACTAAAGATGGTCACTTTAAGGTAGATAATGATGAAAACGAGTACCAGTTATCTCTAAGAATGGTCAGTTCTGGGCTGGTACAAAGGATAAATCGCACATTGCTGAAACAAAGGCAACAAATTATGAAAGCAGTCCAATTAAAGTAACACTGGCAACTTTGAAATGTCCATTACAGCCAATGGTTTCTCTTGGGGGGCCTTGAAATAACCCCACCTGTGCTCCTACAGTCCAAGTGTGGTCCAGGGGCTGTGCATGTTATTAGCTCTTAGCAGCTATGGAGGAAGACACAGAGTAAGAAGTTGAAGAGGAAGAGGATGCAAAACTCCTAAGTATACATGTATCTGGAAAGCAATCTGCCTCTGGAAGCAGTAGCAAGTTTCCACAGAAGAGAGTAAAACTTGCTGCTGATGAAGATGATGTGATGATTATGATGATGAAGATGAGGAGGAAACTGAAGAAAAAGTCCTAGTGGGGAAATCTATACAAGATGTTTTAGCCCAAAATGCACACGATCAGATCAGAATGGAAAAGACTCACTACTATAAACAGGCCAAAGGTCAAAAATCAAAAGGTCAAGAACCCTTTAAAAAACCAGAAAGAACTGAAACATCCAAAGGACCTAGCTCTGTAGAAGACATTGAAGCAAAATGAGAGCAAGTATAGAAAAAAGAATGGAAGCCAAATTCATCAGTTATGTGAAGAATTGCTTCCAGATGACTATCCAGGAGGCTAGTCAAGGTGTCTGGCAGCAGAGGAAGTCTCTAAGAAAGCAGTTTAAACAGTTTGTTAAAATGTTGCATCTTATTTCATTTCTGTAACATTCGATATCTGGCTATCCCTTTTGTAATCCAGAGTGAGAACTTACCCTATTGTGTTTGATAAATGTCCAGGTTCCATTGCTAAGTGTTGACGAAAGTGCCTATTTTGTTTTTGATTTTTTTTTGTTTGTTTTTAATTAAAGAGGTTTATTCTGAACCAAGTATGAGTGACCATGGCCCAGAGCCACGCTCTGGAAGCATTGAACAAATGGATTTGCCTGTTTAGCTTTTAAAGACAGGGCTGGGAACTGTTGTTATCTTGTCTTTGCCATTTCTGATTGATGAAATTAGAGATTTTACTCTTTTTATTCTTGGTTAGGTTGGTCAAAGGTTTATCTATTTTATTGACCTTTTCAAAAAACCAACTTTTTGATTTATTGATCTGTTGTATAATCCTTTTGTTTTCAATTTCATTTAATTCTGCTCTAATTTTGGTTCTTTCTTTTCTTCTGCTGGATTTGGGATTGGAGTGCTCTTCTTTTTCCAGTTGCTTGAGAAGTCCCATTAGGTTGTAAACTTCCCCTCCTTCTGTTTTCTTGAGGAAGGCTTGCAGTGCTATAAATTTCCCTCTTAGGACTGCCTTTGCAGTATCCCAAAGGTTCTGGTAACTCATGTCTTCATTTTCATTTTGTTCCAAAAATTTGGTAATTTCCTTCTTGATCTCGTCTCTGACCCACCTATCATTCAGCATAAGGTTATTTAGCTTCCATGTTGGATTAAAGATTTAAACTTAAGACATGAGACTATTAAAATACTAGAAGAAAGTGTAGGGAAAACACTTGAAGAAATCGGCTTGGGCGAAAATTTTATGAGGAGGACCCCCTAGGCAATTGAAGCAACATCAAAACTACACTACTGGGACCTCATCAAACTAAAAAGCTTCTGCACAGCCAAGAACACAGTAAGTAAGGCAAGCAGATAACCCTCAGAATGGGAGAAGATATTTGCTGGTTATGTCTCCGACAAAGGTTTAATAACCAGAATCCACAGAGAACTCAAATATATTAGCAAGAAGAGAACAAGTGATCCCATCTCAGGGTGAGCAAGGGACTCGAAGAGGAACTTCTCTGAAGAAGACAGGCGCATGGCCTACAG